CGATGTAACAACAACATTAAGGATAAACAAAGCCAAACAAACCTAAAATAGCAAAAGTGCCCTTGCTATATTAAAAGGTGCCCATCCTATATTAAAAGGTGCCCATCCTATATTAAAAGATGCTCTTGCCATAGTAAAAGGTGCCTAATCTCTAATTTTAATCGTTCTAAGATGCCCATCCCTATCTGGAAGTGCCCATCCACTATTCAAAGGTGCTCATACTATAGTAGAAAGTGCCCTTTCATTAATAAAAGATGCATTTCCTTAATTAATTACTATATTCTATAGTAAATTAATATATCAGAAAAAGATATATAAACCCTGCCTCTTTATCCAAGGCAAGAGGACAGTTGGTCCCCATATTTTAGTTGCTATTATTTTGTTATTATACACTTTGGTCTTGGGAATAGGTCCCATTTTTATTTTTATTATAACTTTGTATTAGGAATAGGTTCTATTTTTGGTATTTTTATATTATTTTTGTTGGGAATAAGTCCCTTTTCTTTGATATTTATTTGAAATTATTATATTTTTCTTGAGTTAAACATATTTGTTTTATCTGTGTTATTCTTTTGAGTATTATCTGAGTTAATAAATCGATCTTTTGTCTATAAATTTTGTTGGTTATAATCTTTTCTTTGTGAGTGTCGCATTAGCAATAAGTCGACAATATTTTACCTTATCTATAAACTATTTTCTTCTATAAATTATATAAACATATTTTTTAATTACTCGTATACTTAGTCAAGTAAGGTAACTTGTTAACCATAGGTCTAACTTGTTACATTACAATATTATAATAAATTAGTAAACAGAGCAAATACATAGTGCTAAATAAGATATTGTTTCAAAATAAAACTGAACTAATTAAATTTCATATCAAAAACTTGGTAAAATTGACTATATGGTTTTGTTTTATATTACTTATCATTGCTTATTAGAAAAATTTTTACTGATTATTATTATAAATTGTCAATAGTTGGTAACAGTATATATATATACTGTTACCAACTTACTTCAGAGTGTTACCTACTTATAGTTATAACGATTTATTTATGATTACATCGTCAGATTAATGACGATGAATTTACATTTGCGTCATTAGAGATATATTAATATTCACATCATTCGAGTGACGATCGATTCACACTTGCGTCGTCATTCATGAAATCCAGATATTTGTCCGCATCGTCATTCATGGAATCTAGATATCAATAAAAATTTGACGATTGATTCATGATTGCATTGTCAGTGATATAGCTTTAGCAGTAGTATTTGCATCATTGTTTGCAAATTTTTTCTTTCAATCTTTACACATATAATGACGATGCGATCAGATGACGTATAAATTACATTTGTATCATCATTCGAGAGCCATCAAGATATATGGGTGGCTTGACATTCGATTTCTATTTTTACGTCACTTGGATGACAACTGTGGCTAATTTTTGTCATCAGGTTACCAACTATTATATGCTAGTTTGGCAACTGTATCTGATTTCTGTCGTTAGTCCACATAGGCAAAAAAATATATCTGACGATATATTCAGTTATGTAACATCATTTGCTGGCCTAATGTTATCTACCTATTGCTATTGGGTATGCTATCTAATTGCTGTTGAATATGTTATATTAGAATATACCGATTTTGATTGCTGGAATTTTTAATACCAAAACTATATCCTGAGAACATATGTAGTAAAAAAGTGGGCTAACTTTGACTAACTATATAGGAAGGCAGATATATAACTCCTATAATCTCTACTATATAGAGTTACTGAAGTTATACACCCAAAAACATGTCATCAAAAAGTGTAGTCTTCTGCTATATTTATTATATATATTCCACAAAAGACTACACCCTGAAGTATATTTATCTTTGCTATAGTCTTCTGCCATATTTATTATATATATTTCACAAAAGACTACACCTGTTGCATCTAACTACATATACCAATTTTACTATAGTCTTCTGCCATATTTATTATATATATTCTACAAAAGACCACAAAGTTTTCTTTATCTCTATCACATTCATTTACATTCTCGTTAAAAATACTCGATATATATTTTTTGCTATCACTTACCACCAACTGAAAAAAATAATTTAAACTTTTCCAAACTATATTGTAATAATATAATTGAACAAAGATTGATACATACCAATAAAAAACTAAATACCAAAAATGAGTAAACAAAGCGCACAACTCGAGCAGTACGGGGGCGGAGAAACTTTATCTGAAATTCCAACTTGTAACAATATTTCTTCGGAATGTGATAATGGGTTAACGACTATACTTCAACAAAGCTTATCCAATAACCAGCCTATATACTTCATACCTAATGATGTGAGCGATGCTACTGAGTACATAAAAAATGTATCTACATATATTCTACGTATTTACGGTACTTTGATTAATGGCCAAAAGGCTAGAGTAGATATTACAGGTATTAAACCTTTCTTCGATATTATTGTTCCGGATGGAAAACCACTAACTATATTTAAAAGTAGTTTAGTTAAAATCGTGTTTAAAGCCCTCAAGAGTACATCAAAATTTAGAACCAAAATTATCGATGCTTTTCCATTTCGTGATTACTATACAGAAAAAAACTATATATACATGTAATAACATAGAATCAATATGACCGATATAATGCATTGAAAGCAGTTTGCGAGTCTGGTATAAAAACAGCATCTGATGATCTAAATTGTAAGTACTACTACCGAAAAATAGCCTGTGAAAAAAAAATAACCCTCTCCAGTTGGGCAACAATATGTAATTACACATATAATGGAAGCATATTTTGAGTACCTATAGATAACTATAACTCAATTAATGAAGATGAATATAAAAATCTATCAATTGCTTTAGCTCTCACACGAGATAAAACACTTGTTCTTACTTGGGATATAGAAACATATAGCAGTCGTAAAATGGGAGACCTACCTGATGCAAAAAATGAGAAAGATCGAGTATTTATGATATATATGACAGTACATTGGAAAGATGATTCCCACCCATTGACACAAATATGTTTAGTTGATGTGGAGATGAAACCAGATCCCAACTGAATCACAGTAATATGTGGAAATCAGACCAATTTGCTGAAGGCATTCGCCCTTTGTTGAAAAACAATCAAGCCAGATATACAAATTGGATTTAATGATTCGCAATATAACTGGCCTTTTATTATAGAAAAAGCCAAAAGTTTAGGCATTCTTGAATGGATGTTTAATCATATGTCACCCGAGCCATCTAATATTGAAGAAATTATAAAATGGAAATATTGAAAAAGTGAGATAAAGATATCTGATGAGAAATTCTACTCAAGATATCTTAAAATCCCAGAGTGTATACCTATTGATGTTCATGCTTGTTTCAAAAAGTTATATCTAAAATCAGAAGCGAGTTCACTGAAATATTATTTAGGAAAATGTGGATTGGGTAGCAAGGCGGATATGCCTTATAATAAAATGTGAAAATACTACGAAGATGCTATATTTCAGAACTCTGACAGTACAGCTAAAAATATGTGTGAAGTAGCCCATTATTGTATTATTGATGCATTATAGTGTCAGGAGCTTATGGTTAAGCATAATGTAGTTAATGATTATCAGGAGGTGTCATCTATTGCATATGTTTCTCTCTTCGATGCTCATTATTTTGCAGGTGTATGAAAGTATATAATCTTTTGGGAGCTGAAGCTTGGAGTAGTAATATGTTATGTAGTATGATTGCTTCAAACAATACAGAACCTGGTAAGTACCCAGGAGCTTATGTTATTACACTAATAAAGGGTCTCGAAAACAAACGTTCAGTAACAGGCTTAGATTTTGCCTCCTTATATCCAAGTCTTATAATGACTTACAACCTTTTACCAGATAAAATAATATTATCTCATGAGAAGGTGATAAATATAATTTGCAGTGAAAAGAAGATTCACATGATTAAGTTTCTATTCAATGATCAAACTATAGAAGCTTGGTTTATTCGCTATAATAATATACCTGAAGAAAAGGGTTTATATACTAGAGTATTAGAAAATCTGTTTAATAAACGAAAAGAAATGAAAAAACGCCTTAATGAATTGGATGAGGAAAGTTTCGAATATAGTTGCTTAGACTCAAAACAAAAGGCGGTAAAATTATACATAAATACATTTTATAGTGAGGTAGGTAATAATCTCTCCCCATTCTATCAACTGCAGTTAGCAGGTGGAGTTACTTCTGCCAGACAGCGTAATATTAAATTTGTTAAAAAATTTGTTGAAGACAAAGAGTTCGGTATTAAATATGGAGATACTGATTCTTTATATCTTATATATCCAGAGGAGTGTTTCCAGGAATGTGATCGAAAATATAAATTAGATCAACTCTCACAAGAAGAGTACTGGAAGGAAATGGTAAAAATATCTATGGAAGTGATGGCAAGCCTCTGTAATGAAGTGAATACTGAGCTTGAAAAAGACAATGGAACACTTTATCTTAATATAGCATATGAGGAGGTCTTATTTTCTGTGGTATTTACAGGAAAGAAAAAATACTATGGTCTGGAGCATAAAAATAAACCAAACTTTAATCCAGGTAAGCTTTTCATTAGAAGGATGAATATTGTGAAAAGAGGTCAATCTAAGCTCTTCCGTGATGTAGGTAAGGAGATTATGAATAGAACTTTGAAAATCGGTAATGAGGAGACAGTACACCAGATTGTTGAAAAAGTTCTTTAGGAGAATATAGAAAAACTTTCCAAATTAGATTATGATGAATTTATTTAGACATGTATATGGAGGCCTAAAAAAGAAGATAAGCAGGGAAATATTTCTGTAGAGTGGTTTGTTTCACGAATGAAGGCTAAGTATTCTCGTGAAGTATTAGAAAATCAACAGCTTATAAAGAAGAGTTTATCTGCTAACGAATATCTATATAAAGTTCCCAAACCCGGTGAACGATTTAGTTACATTGTAGTAGTACCTAAAGAAATTTATGATAACTGCGGGAAAAAAATACCACAACAAAAGGAGACTGTATAGAATATCCAGATGTGGTAAAAAAGTTCAACAAGAAAATAAATATTGATTATTATATCGAAAGTCTATTTGGTCTCTGTGCCCGTTTTATAAATTATGATGATAAATATCAACCATCGCCTGAATCCCTCTTGAAAGTCTTGAATCGCAAAAAGAAATCCAAGGAGAAGAAATTAAAAATTGCTAAGGATTTATTGCAAAATAATGACTCTCCGAGTCTAGATGAAGATGAAATAGCAAAAATTAAAGATGAAGAATCACAGAAGTCGGCTAAAAAATGTCTTAAAAATTATATTAAGAACTTACATGATGCTCCAAAAAAAGATAAAGCTATTATCTCCTATTTATGGAAAGATGCTATTGTATATGCTGAAAAAATATACTCTACTATGGATATTAGCAGTTCTATTAAAAATCCTTTACAGAAAAATAGAGACAGAGTCTCATTACTTTGTAATAATCCTTATTTCAATGTGTTAGATAAACATAAGGAATCTATTCACTCAAAATTATCAACATTACTTGTAGAAATTTCAAATACATTTACAGAATATAAAGAAGGTTTGTATAAATTAGTTAATAACTCTCATAAGTATAGTGGAGCTAGTGTCAAGACACATATTTCTAAAAGTACAATTTTGAAAGAGTATATATTAACTGATATTTTAGAATCTGAGTATAAGATACTAACAGAATTTCGAAATACATGGTACAAAGCAATTGGTCTTGAGATTGCACGTTTTTAAGCAGTATCAATCATGCAGAGTTTGATGAGATTATCGACCTATACTGTTAAGTATTCTTGGTTAGAATTGCGACACCCTAATAAGATACTTATATAATATTAATTATATTTTTTTATATATAAATAAATCCCAAGTCTAAATAGACAGTTCCTAATATCTAACCCAGCATCTCATAACTGATCATTTTTTCTCTTCAATCCCTATATACATCTCAATATAATGAGCCACATAGCCGCAATAATTAACAGGATAAAAAATATATGCTGGTAGCGTTAACATCAAAGTGGTTGACACAATGGGAAGAGGCAGAACCTTGAGACTAGGTCTCATCACTCCTATTCCCCCTATCGGAATTCAAGAATGTGTGTCATTTTTATTATATAGTTTTTATATTCTGCTTTCTTACATTAAATATATTAGAAAAAAATCTGAAAAATCATATGACTTCGATCATATTATAAAAATGCAAGATTATAATAAGAATAATGCTAAAGCTTTAGCATATACTCAAAGACGTGAAGGAAAATGCTTAGCTAGAGTTAGCCCTAATATTTATTTATAGATTTGTAAAAATCAGCATCGATGAAAAGCATCCTATAGAGATATGAAACGAAATTATAGGTGGTGCAATAGTTGTCCTCATATATTTGAAAGGACATGTTGATATATATTCGAAGAATTATTGCATAAAAAATTCCCACCTTGAAAACCTAAATTTTTAGAAGGCTTACAACTGGATGGATATAATGAAGAGTTAGGTTTGGCCTTCGAATATAGTGGCAATCAACATTTTCAAATCGTACCTTTTTTTCATCCACAAGGGCAGGTAAATTTAGATGCACAAATCTGGCGTGATTGGAAAAAAAGGGCATTATGCTACAAAGAAGGAATAATTTTCATTACAATTCTCTATTGTGTCATTGACTTAGAAACTTTTATAAGAAGCGCCTTATATGCATTCGGTTATCTCTCAATACCCACCTAGAAGACAACATAGGCTCTTTCTTAATATGCATTAATTATTCTCTTACAAAGGAACGCTGAGGTCCTGATTCATCTAAATAATATAAAACGGGCATGGGAGGATTTTTTCCAACAACAATTTTTTGAATTTTATGCAAGGAAGGGGACCATAGAGGATCTGTTATCCTGCATCGTTCGAAGAGATCATTTTCTCATTCCCCTTTAGCAAGTAAGAATCGTACAATAGTGCTCTTTGATAGTTGTGGTTCATCAACACCTATTGGACGATTATATTTTACTGATGGCTTAGAATATATCCGCCCAAGTTTCATGGCATCATTAGGACTCATCCCAATTAGTCAGGTTGGAGTAATATTCATATTGTCAACAATCTTTCGTGCAAAACATTCACATTCTCTACAGCGCTCACCAGTAGGTAGAAGAAACTCTATTGCATACTGGTTTTTAAAAACTCTTAATTCGAATAATCTGGCATAACGATCAACCATTGCTATGCTTGTATGTCTAAAACGTGCCTTAATTCTTCAGATATTAACATTATATTCATCTATTATTAAAGTCACATTCTCTATAAACTCACGACCTCGATCATATTGCAATAGCTGAGGCCAGTTAAGAGGGCTGTCGGAGTTATCATATTTACTCTTAAATACTTCCGCAACTTCTTTACTACTTTTTGACATTAAAAAAACAAAATCCTTATACCTAGTTGCACAGTCCATAACTAATAATACATAGTAAAATATTGGATCATTATCTAGTGAATCTGTATCCACATCATATGGTATTTCGATCAGATCGCACTGGTGTACAGTATTTGGCTTCGTGATTTTTAAGTAACTGACATAAGGTATTTGTCTTGGTGAAGGCCGAAAAATTTGATACATCGCCTGGCTATTAAGCTATTTTTTTATATCATTAAATGGAAAGTTATGGCCAGCTTTCTTACAAGCATCCCACAATTCCTTAACATTTTGATAAAGACCCTCGGGCTGATAATATAGTTTCTGTAAAGCAAGATGTCGGTCGAGATTACATGCTTTTTGGGAATCGATAATAATCGTAGGTTTTTGTAATGCCAAATTTTGATCTTTAACTTTTTTAGTCTTAGCAATTTCTCGATTAAGTTCATATGCTTTTTGTGATCTATATATATTATAGGTTTCTCTATTTCTTTGTTTTATTATAGTAATAAAAAACAATAGATGAGTTATAACAAACTAACCAAGAACTCTATGAGGTAGTATCACAATTAGCGGAATCTAATAGAAATTTCAAACAACGACTATATACCTTAGAAAGAGTTATAAATATACGTAAAGAAAGGATACGATATATTGAAGAAGAGTTAAATAGCGCTATCGAACTTTCTAGACAAGACAAAGAAGAATTATTAGAAGAGATTTCAAAATTAAAAAGAATCGTTCACCAACTCAAGGAAGAAAATAAAAAGAAAGACAAAGAAATTTCTAATAAAGATAGATTAATATCAGAATTCGATGAACGTGAGACAAAATTAAAAAACCGTATACGAGAAATATCAAAATCTGCCGGTAATACGCCTAAAGCACAAGATTATACAACCAGATTAGTAGATGAGAATGAACACCTTAAACGAGAAATAAATACAATAAGGACTAACCAAATAAATAGGATTAACAAAATAACCCAGCAAAAAAACTGTATTACAGACCTTCTTTGTAAAAATTTTGCTTTATCTTTATTAAGATATCGAGATAGATTAGAACTTATAAACACCTGAGAAGCTCTGCAAAATATACAAGCATGGAACTTTAATTCATCTGATTCTGATGAAAATTCTCAAGATACTTATATTTTTGATCAAACTTTAGATATGGCTACGATAGCTGAGTTAGCTGATGCTATAGACTGATCCCTAAATGATACAGCAATATATAGAACTGTTTTAACAAATCAAATTAAAAGATCAACAAGATCAATCTGACGTAAATATACTAACCTACAACAAGATCTGGTAAATGTATGATGGGACCGAGATACGTACAGGCAGGAGTGAGATTAGGCATTGCTTAATCTTTAGCAGTTGCAAACTAATGCTCAGAATCAAGTAAACAGAATGATAAATAATATAACAAGAAAGCAAATGCGTATTGGTGAATTGCTATGTAAAAATTTTACTTTTCAGTTATTGTATCAGTAAAATGCCCACCACCTACAACAATGCAGAGCTAATAGAGGTTTGCTAGAATATAATAGGAATAGGTTATATGAATGATATAGGAAGTGAAAAAATAAGACTCATGCAGAGCGTCAGAATATTTTAATTTTAAATCAACAAATTTTGGCACTTTATAATAATCCACCAAATCAAAGAAATATGGCATTACCCATAGGATTTGCACAACCAGAATTTCATAGCGGTGATGAAGATCATAAAGATTTCGTAGATAGGTTCATATCATATATTACCTTAGCTGGAGTAAATAACGATGCAAATATTCTCACTATATTAGATCAATCTCTAAAAGGAGAAGCAAGAGAATGGTATCATAGAGAATTTGACAATAAAAATTGGGAGTTAGAAAATGTACTTGATAACTCTGGTATAGGTGCAACAATAGCACATATTCGAGGTGCTAATGCTGTAGCTATAACAGGTGCAGTTGCTTCTTTCTCAAATGTTCTACTTGGACTTACAGGTGTACAAATTATCCCTGCTCGAAATGTTGCTAAAGATTGGACAATAGCAGGAGGACGTCCAACTAATGCAGTACCAGTTGCACCAAATGCTGGAGGAGGTGTTTCTATTATTCTAGCAGGAATGCGATCTGGACAAAGGCTTTGGTGGATGAAAAAACATTATCCAACTGCTAATAAATATGTAAAGATGTTAGAAATTAGAGCATTAAGACAAGGCGTATATGAGAGTGTACTTTCATTCTGGGCAAAAATTCAGAAATATGGCAATCAACTCGGTTATACTCCAGCATAGAAGAAAACTCATTTCTTATCTGGAGTTAGACCCAATATTAGAGATGAAATTTATAGAATTGGTCAAACAAAACACAATAACAATATTATTGATAGTTTGGCAGAACTTGAATTATGTTATAGAATATTACAACAGGCACCATCACAACCTCGCCATGCACCTATTGCTCCTGCCATCCCAGATATTATATCACAACAACCGGTATTCCCCATGGCTGATATACAAAAAATGATTCAAGATGCATTGGCACAGCAAAAAACTGAATATCAGTCTTTATTAGAAAAACAAAAAACCGATTTTCAATCACAAATGGCTAAGCAAACGCAAGTATCTGCATCTCAAACTGTTAAACCAGTTAGACAGCCAAGAGGTCCACCATCTTCATTACAAACCGAAGAAGGTATAGAAAATTATCGCTTATCACAATACTTAAATGATTTAGGTATATTTAGTATAGAAGATTTTGATAAAAATTATCCTATAAAGCCTTTTCAAAAACCTTGGCCGGAATGATTATATTCATCAAATCAAAATGCTAGAATAAATAGAATAGAATCGAAAGTAGATGAAATCGGTCAAATGACATCTCAATTCGGAAGAATGATACTTGATAATCATTCAAAAAAACCTGTAGCTAAATCAAATTCAATACGTCGATACTTTCCTCCTCTAATATCTTCCCAATCCCAATATGCATCCCCGATTCAGATGATAATGAGAATAATGAAGGTGAATATAATGAGGAAGAAAATAGATGAAATGCTTCATCTCAGACAGAAAAAAAAAACAAGTATTATCAGTAAATAATAAATCACATGTTAATACACAAAATGCACTTTCTATAAAGGATATGATACCTAAAAGCTATGATTAACTAATGAATTCATTATCACTGATAATATGTAAAATGTGTCAGTCTCATATAGTTCAGGAGAAATCAAAATCAGATAAGTGGTTTTCGTCATTACAATACTTGCATTGTAGTATAAATGATCTATTGATCACTAATTCCTTTTTAGATAGCGCGAGTGAATTTGGAGGGGTCAATAATGCAACAATTAATGCCCTGAGGTGGAAAGCTGACAAGCCATCTGACTTTGCTATAAAAGGTAATTCCAAACACATCACCGAATCATTGGAATAGTTTACAGATATGCCAGTTAGTATAAAGGATAAGGATGGAAAAATTGTTATGGCTACTGGAAATTTTGCTCATATTAATAATAGTGAACCTGAACCAATGTTATGTTTAGGTATGACATGGATTCGAAAAGTTCAAGGTATTCTTGATCTAAATAAAAATCAATTTCGCATGAAGATACATAGAAAAACTTACAATATCCCAACATTTAGTAAGCCTTCGGGGGTTAGTGAACCAGAGCAACAAACATCAGATATGCATGATGGTGAGGACTTAAAAAAAAATATGACTCACTTGAAAAGCAACTTATAAAGACTAAAGAATGGCTTGATATAGCTTTAAACGCAGGTAAAGTTCTTGCAGAAAGATGCTCTCAGCTTACTGAGACAAAGATGGGAGAATAGGAGCTAATCTTTTAGCACCATTCATTAATTTTTCAATATCAGATTCCCATCTAGATGTA